AGGAAAGTTCAAAGTCAAACGTTTTGATGCAGTTGAATAGTTCTCACAAATACGTATCAGCACATTAAGTTTAATGAAAAATATTTTGAATGGTTTATTTAAAACTGAGCTAAACACTAATTTAAAATAAATGATGTTAAGGTCAAAGGAAAGGCCAAGGTCAAAAAATGTTGAAGCAGTTGAAAAGATTACATCAGAATATATTAGCATATGAAGTTTGATAAAAATATTATGAATGGTTTCTTTAAAACTGAGTTAAACACAAACTAAGAAAAGTGAGGTCAAGGTCGAAAAATATTGATGCAGTTGAATAGCTTACATCATTATGTATCAGCATATGAAGTTTGACACTAATTTAAGAAAAGTGGGGTCAAGGTCAAAGGAAAGGTCAAGGTCAAAAAATGTTGATGCAGTTGAATAGCTCTCATCAGTATGTATCAGCATATGAAGTTTGATAACACTATATTGAATGGTTTCTTTAAAACTGAGCTAAACACCAATTTAAGAAAAGTGAAATCAAGGCCAAAGGAAAGGTCAAGGTCAAAAAAATATTCATGCAGTTGAATAGCTCTCATCAGTATGTATTAGCATATGAAGTTTGATTAAAATATCTTGAATGATTTCATTCAAACTGAGCTAAACACGAAGAAAAGTGAGGTCAAGGTGAAAGGAAAAGTCAAGGTCAAAAAATGTTGATGCAGCTGAATAGCTACATCAGTACGAGGGGTTATCAAAAAGTTTGTGGACTAGCGCCATAAAATTAAAACCGCTATATGTACATCAATAAATTTTTAAACATTTTATAAGCATCATATTTTCTATCTGTAAAATAAACTATAAATCACAAGTTTTATTTTTTAGTGAATAAATGTTTTTGTAAGCAGTGTATGTCCAGGCGGCGCAACCTCGAACATGACGTATTTTCAACCTGAGTGTAACTGAGAAAAACTCTTCCAATAAGAGCATTTTCATCCGAAAATCAATTACATGTAATTCACTCATGTGATATGACACAATTTTTCTGTAAAAGTTGCAGTTTTTACCTCATTCTGTATATTCTATGAAATTTTATCGTAAATTTTCTATTGAATGTCCAAACAATAAAGGGGTTTAAAATGACGTCGAAAGGGGGTAGGGTGTCATTTTACAACATTCTATAATGTTTCAGCCCCTGGAAAATCTGGCATAGACTTAGAAAATGTATAAACATTTACAGAGAAATAAAATATATCCAGAGTACTTGTTTTTAAATACCAACACAGATTCAGCAAGAAAAGAGACACATGGTTAATGTCGATTTGTAGTCAGGGTGTCCAAAGTCAGTCACGTCGAAAAGTGACGTTGGTCATTGGTTGACATTGAACTCCGACAAGAAAACTATGCTGGCAAAATCAAGCGAGGATCTTTTCCTATGTATAGATTTAATATTTACAATATTAATGCATTGAAATCAGGTTTTCATGACATTGTAAAGTCATATAAACAAGACGGGTTTAGATCTTTATTTTACTCCAGGGATTCTCATGAAGATAAGTGTATTGGGGCAGAAGGAGCGGGCATTGAGAAATAATGACGTTGTCGGACGTCATGAAACTAAACGGCGACAGCGCCGGGTGATCATATAATGCCCTTTTTATTTAATGACAATTTGGCAAATAATCAACATATCAAGCTAAAATTTTCCACACTTCTTAAACTTATGTTGTTTTATGCTCCCTGTAAATTTTGTAATCAACAACTACATAGTATTAATTTAATCGCATCAGTCCACGAACTTTTTGATAACCCCTCGTATGTATCAACATATGAAGTTTGATTACACTATCTTGAATGGTATCTTTAAAACTGAACTAAACACTAATTTAAGAAAAGTGAGGTCAAGGTCAAAGGAAAGGTCAAGGTCAAAAAATGTTGATGCAGTTGCATAGCTCTCAACAATATCTATCAGCATATGAAGTTTGATAAAAATATCTTGGATAGTTTCTTTGAAACTGAGCTTTGAACAAAGCTAAATGCAAAGCGCAACGGAAAGCCAGACGGAAGGACGGAAGACAGACATGACAAACACTATATACCCTGGCCATATTCGTGGCGGGGAATAAAAATTGTTTACAGACAGACTACGGACACCTTATTATCGCATAAGCTCTTCTGGTTTCTGACCAGTAGAGCTAAAAACAAGAATATTTTCAAACTGCAAATGAACATGTTTTGTATCCAATCGGAACATCACTTGGTCTTTCTGTCAAGATTTTTCTCAACTTGATGGAAAAGGCCTAGTGATGTTCCGATTGGCTATGTATCCTCTTTACCTTAGCATTGCAAGAGATTACGAAGGGGGAATAACTCAATTTCCCATTAAAGTTCAAAAAGAATATTTAAGTCATTCCCCTTTAAATGTTCAGCCTATTTCAGCATTGCCTGAGAAACTAAATCATAATATTTTTTGTGGCCTTAGAATACTGTGGAATCATTTTAATTCATGGGGGTCAATGTTCATGGGCAAGGAAAATTTTACTTTTTCATGGGGACATAATTCGGGGGTTACTCATTTATACAGTAGATTCAATGAATTAATACGTTTACAAAATAAATGTTCGTGGGAATGTAAATTTGAGGGTTAAGGGTGACCCACGAAATCCAGGAACATTGATCCCCCCAAAAACAAGTATGATTCCACAGCAATGTTTCCCTGAGAAGAGCTACAGGTCAAATTGACCACTTCAGTTGAGAAAAATGCCGCTTAGAAGTAAAAAATTTCAAAAAATAATTGTTGTAAGGTCCACAGAGATTTTGTTCATAAACCTCAACTCCTAGCCTGTTACAAATGATCTCCAACTCTTTACTTTGAAATAAAAGGAAAATGCTGCACAATACCTAAAATTATCTCTAAATACATTTTTGTACTCAAGCTTTGTTTTCATCTTATACAAAGCTACAGTTGTCATCATCACTAATTCATTGTCCCCCGCTTTCACGCTTTCGTTTCTAGGCGATATTTCAGTAAGCCTTTGAAATTTTGCAATGAAATTTTACATAACAACTCCCTATGACCGCTTTTTGATTTTGAGGTCAAAAGGTCAAGGTCATAAATTCATAAAATCTGTCTGTTCTAACACTTTTGTTTCCGGGCGATATCTCGAGAAGCCTTTGAGCTTTTGCATTGAAATTTTATACCACAACTCCCTATGGCCTAAGGAAGACCCCTATTGATTTTGAGGTCAAAGGTCAAGGTAGTAAACTCATACATTCTTTGTGTAGCACTTTTGTTTCTGGGTGATATCTCGAGAAGCTTTTGAGCTTTTGCAATTAAATGTTATACCATAACTCCCTAGGTCCCCATCCATGTCTCTCAAAGTGTCCCGCCCTGCTTTTTTTTCTCTTTTTTTTTGGTGTCAATTTTTTTATATCAAAAGTCAATTGAAAATGTTGGCATCAATGATGCTGTTGTTGGTCAAACAAAAAATATATATTTAGAAAAAGGCTAATGAGAAGTGGTGAAAAACACGTAAATCACCAATATGCACAAAGTATTTGGATCCGCGCCCAATTTCATACAGCAGTTCTGACGTGGCATGTACAAACGTTCTCATAAAATAATTATTACAGTCTGATAAAAATAATATTATTTTATATAAAAAGAATCTTCTATACACATTTTAAAGAAAAAGCAATCAAATCCATACAAAAATAAATAAATAAATAAAATCCCCCACCCACCCCAATTTCTCAGCACTTAAGGACAAAAATCTAACATCTCTCTCTCTCTCTCCCCCCCCCCCCCCCCCTTCTAGATCTGTGCATGCTCTTCTTTTTTCCTTAAACAAGGGACACAAATTCTCTGAATTAGTTTGTTGTAAATTGCTTTAAACTGCAAAAACTTCATTTTTCTATGTGATCTCATTTTTTGTATTATGTACTTACATGTATTAGGATCAGCATAACCAAAGGCCTTTAGATCACTTCAATCCAATTTACAAAAAAATTGGGGTGTAAAAAAGACATCTTTTTTTACACCCCAAAGTTTTTGCAAGTCAGATTAAAGAGATATAAAGGCCTATGAGCATAACTTGGTTTCGAGAAGAAAATCTCTTTATTTTTCTTTATATAGTGATATATATAGTATACATGTATATAGTATTGGACCACAGGGGCAGGGTAGGGTTTTTTTGTACTATGATTAATTTGCAAAGATTATTTTTTTAAAATAAATTGTCATGGAAAAAATGTATAAAAGTATAACAATTTGCTATCAATTTCTTTAATGCACAACTGAAAAAAAAATTAACATTTGTTCAATAATATCAGTAGCACATGTACTTGTTTCATACCTTTCAATACAGGTATCTTCCAAGAAGGTAAAACAAATCATCTTTTAATTCTATAAAAATCAACTCTGTAAGTGTATGCACACATCATTTCAAAATGCATGTAGTAATATAAATATCAAAAACTTTTTCAATTTGTATAAATCATAGTTATTGTTCATTTATGTTTTCTTTCTGAAGAAGTATCACTTATTAAAATATTAGAAAATATACAATCTGTATTTTTGTAATTTTTATACAATGAACATTATCAAACCAAATGCCAAATGATATGAAATCTATGTGCATCCTTATTTAAAAAAGTTCTTTTGAAAAGAGCATACTGTGAAGTCACTAATTTTTGTGGGGGGTTAATTTTCATTGTTTTTGCGGTATGAAGACACCCACAAATTCCTGTCCTCCACAAAATGTCAAATTTCAAATAAATAATGTTAGCACCTGTTCATCCATAAAATCAAATACCCATGAACCAATATATTTTCCTCAAATCACAAACATATGACCCACCAAAATATGTGACTTAACAGTATTAAGAGTGAATTTAAATTTGCATGGTATTTTTGTAGTTTTTCACACAAATATTCACAGAATAGAAGATAATACAAGTTCTCATTCAACTTTTAAAAATTTAAATATCTTGTAAACTTCTGCCCATGCATCCATACATCCACTGAAAGAAATTAAAATGATCCCAGAACAGTAAGGATGGGGCATAAAATCATACAGACATATACTTTAATGATCATTCACATGAACACATCTGCTGCTTTGTAGCAAATTTAATAAATTAGTCACTAGTAATGTAAGTTTGTAGAGGCTCTGATCTGAGTGGTTTACTCGAGTCCCAGTGACCAGTTGATACCCTGCACCAGTAAAATGATGATTGGCTGCCAGGCAACAAGGTATCGAATCCAGTCAAGTAGATTCCCGTACAAAATATCTGGTCGATCCCAACTAGAGAAAGTCAAGGTCATAATAAATGTTCATGGCAGTGTAATGAAATTAAAAATCTCATTTATAGATAACTTTACATAGATAGGCCAACATTTTTTTATTTTCTGTTTTACGGGAATTTTTTTCTAAAATTTGAGTCGGGGGGTTGAAATAAAAATAAAAGCTCGAAATTTAAGCAGTCGGTCAGAAAAATAAAAATAAAATGAAAAAATGCAACAAAATTTTTTATTTTTAATTAAGGATGGAATTTTTTTCTATGACCTTAATTTATTAGGAAAAAAGTGTTATTTGAAAAACTTACAAATAAAAAACACAAAATTGGTACTGTTAATGTATTAATGAACTATTTTAATTTTAGCTTTCTCTTAGATATTTAGGGCAGGGGTTGCATTTCTAGTATTAACAGCTTGCAATTTCTAACATTAATGCAAATCAAACATACAAATCTATTGTCTTCTCCCAGTTGTCAAATATCAAAGTGTCACCACAGTAAAAATTATAGGACTTATGTCACACCCCTCATAAACTTTTCAGAATCTTTTATTTTTCGGTATTCAGCAAATTACAAGATCTGGGGATTATGGACTAGCTCTGACAAAGTTATGGCAAATATACAGTGAGACATTCAATGGATCAGCTAAAATAAATTAATTCACAGAAGTGCACGCGAGACATGATAAAAAGAAAAGTTGTATAATATTTTTTTTCAACGCAATTCAAATTAATATATACGTATGTGGAAAAAGGTACCCCAATCTCTCTATTGAAAATATATTCAAACTTCCTCAATCTGTATTATATTTGATCTCTTTTTATCCTTATATTTTTCTTTCTGAGCATGCTAACTTTCAACATAATTGTAGAAAATATGTACATCTTTCCCATAGTATACACATGTAAAATACACATGACAATATTCTGTTTACTGCAGAATTCAAAAATTTACTTGTTGAAACTGGTTCTAATCCACAACTTTTGAATGAAAAAAAAAAAGAAACCAGGTCTTGAATTTAAATAATATTTGTAAGGGCATATCATTTACAACAATACTTTTCCCTAGTGGTAAAAAAACTAGCATTACTAAACAAGAGATACATATACACTGTATCAGCTGTTATTAATAGCTGATGTACATTAATTTGTTACATAGCACACAAAATTCCATAAAATGATAAAAAAAGGAAATAATGTCATGTATCAATCAAGCATATATTTTCGTAGGTAATTTTGAATTCCAATCTTTGTCATAAAACGAATGAAAGTTGTGACCCGAATTTCCTCAGTCACGCCACTTTCTACCAGTTCTACAGGGTTCTGTTCTGTCGTTAATTGTAAAAGAAAACATTATTGTCTTAAAATTCAGTTTAAAAAAATCTTCAAGACGTATTTCAATGTATTGAAGCAATTGTCAAAGATAATACGCACTCAAAACCTTTCAAAACAAGCGGTTGACAGAACCTCAATTTCCAAGTGGCCCTCTGCATGACATTTGATCAAAATTACTGTTTCGTCTATTTCGTTCAATCTTTCATTAAAAGTTCATCTGAAATTTATACTTTTTTCTAATATATGACATGGACATGTCACTTTTTAAAATGACTATTTAAAAATATATGAAACCCTCCGATTTTGACATTTTGGCGCTATACTATGTGCAGTGCCTATTCACACTTCGAATACTGTGACTGGATGAATATATTTTCATCAGCCAATAACAAATCGCATTTTGAAAGGCTTGTGAAAAGTTTATTTATATTTCTTTTATTTTTTCAGTGACTATAAATAAACTATCGGCGGGAGAAATAAAAATAAAATTTGGATTAGGAACTTTTATTTTTATTTCATTTTAGCCCAAATTAGGGTCGGCGCTCCCGTAAAACAGGATATAAAAAAATGTTGGCCTTATCAGGGACCTATATACTAACTACTGTTTAAAAGACATTTCCAGTATTTTTGTCTTTAACAAGGGAAAAGAAAAAGGATACGGACTAGGGAACATTCTTTTGAGATCCACCTTCTCTTTACAGTATGGACAAGTCTGCTTCTTCCCCACTATACACCAACCTCGTATACAGAACTCGTGGAATCTGGCTAGGTTAAGGAAAACACTTTAAAAACTTGAAGCTAGAAATACATGCAGAGCTGCCAACATCACAAAATGGAAATATTGTAAAGTAGGGTTTAAGGGGTTGTTAAGGCCCTCAAGTGCTAGAGATTTTTCATGAATAAATGATTGTGAAAGGATTTCTCCAATTCGTTTACTTTAAACTATTTAGACTGCAAGTGTGCATGGAAGTGGACAATGACAATACAAACAAGCACTGCTAGGACTATGACTTTTTAATTATAACAGTGAAAACTGAAATTGGCCAACTATTTTATGAAAATTTCGGTATTAAAAACTTTTAAATGAGAAAAACTGAAATCAGATGAATACATACAGAAATCATATGGCGTATTAAAGAAGCTCAATCCGTAAGCCCTACACCAAGGGTGTAGCGTAAGGGTTGGCAGCTCTGTATATGTACAAACAAATGCATTATCAACTCTTACCGCTAAAGCAAAACACTGCAACACTGCATATTTACATGATTTCTGATCTTTGTATTGCATAGAGCTAAATAAATAAAAATTCCATTTACTTTCATATTTCTTAAAAGATTCTTTATAAATTAAAATAAATTCTTTATAAAATAAAGTTCAAGATAAGGTTTATTGAAAGTTTTTTCATATTTAGTTTTTCAAATACATTTGTAATGAAAGATGCTATGTGAGCAAAAAATAGAAGCTGGAACATGACGTCTGTCAAGACAACAAAGGATACATATGATCACAGCCTAGTTTACAGGTAGCTTCAATTATTGCATCATCATTGTTCATGACTAAAATAGGGTTCCCACAGATTCCACACACATTGGGGTCCAGTCTCTTACCAGGAAGCCCTGTTGGTGTATAATACTGAAAAGGAAAAAATTACATCAATTTCATCAGAAAACTTGAAATGCCCCCCCCCCCCCCACAAGAAACGGAAACTTAAATCATGAACAGTTCACAGAACTACATGTATATAAATGAAAATTTTGAAAAAGCACAGTAATATGATAATAGTAACATCCCAAAGATAGCCAATATTGTTACATCATTTATTCTATATTACTTGAGGATAAAATGCCTTCATTACTCTCAGTACTCTGATATTCACTGCATGTATAATGCTAAAGTCATAATAATGGTGTATGAGCATAGCTATGAAATGAAATATGGTGTTTTACCTACCCCAATGTGTGTTGCCATGGTGTCTGAACACACTTCAGCAAAATCTCGGGCTACTACTCCAAAGTAGAGTCCATAGAAAAGAAGTAAAAGTCCAAAGTCCATAGAGACTTGTGGTTTGATTAATAAAATAAGATTTAGTCCTAATAATGTGAACATCACTGACATATAGCCCACAATTCCTAAGAAATAGCTGACTTTGTATATTATCAGGAACCACTTATACACCAACCTGTAAAATGAATATAACAGTGTTACATGTAAATAAAACAGGAAAGTTTTAGAGGGATATTTGATTATTTTTTTTCTCTAACTTGCTGTATATGAATACATCATGCCACATCAACTATATTTCAATAAGTACTGTATCATATGATGTTGTGTTATTATTATACTACATTGTATGGGTTAAAAATTTATTACCGAAACAAGTGCCTGTGGATATCTACATGTATAAAGCCCTTCTTGTTTTATCTGTCAGTGATCATTTTATATGGAACTGTATCATACGCAGTTAACTTTGAAATAATCTACATGCAGAATTTATTAAAAACCATTAAAATTGCACAGAGCATTTTTGTTTTTTAGAGGAATTCACACCAATACATTGAATTTTGTGGATAAATATAAAGTTATAAAAAGCTTTTATAGTGATTCCTCTCACTGACAATGGTACTTTTTTTTTTAAATTTATTTTATTCACATCCTTCATACCTTCATGTACTCTCTTATATAGGTTTTTTTTAATATATTTTATTTACACCCTTCATACCTTGGTGTACTCCCCGAGATAGGTTTTTTGTTATCTATTTTATTTATACCCTTCATACCTTGGTGTACTCCCTGAGATAGGTTTTTGTTATCTATTTTATTTACATCCTTCATACCTTGGTGTACTCCCTGAGATAGATTTTTGTTATCTATTTTATTTATACCCTTCATACCTTGGTGTACTCCCTGAGATAGGTTTTTGTTATCTATTTTATTTATACCCTTCATACCTTGGTGTACTCCCTGAGATAGGTTTTTGTTATCTATTTTATTAACACCCTTCATACCTTGGTGTACTCCCCGAGATAGGTTTTTGTTATCTATTTTATTTACAGCCTGCATACCTTGGTGTATTCCCTGAGATAGGTTTTTGTTATCTATTTTATTTACAGCCTGCATACCTTGGTGTACTCCCTGAGATAGGTTTTTGTTATCTATTTTATTTACAGCCTGCATACCTTGGTGTAATCCCTGAGATAGGTTTTTGTTATCTATTTTATTTACATCCTTCATACCTTGGTGTACTCCCTGAGATAGGTTTTCATTATCTATTTTATTTATACCCTTAGTACCTTGGTGTACTCCCTGAGATAGGTTTTTGTTATCTATTTTATTTATACCCGTCATACCTTGGTGTACTCCCTGAGATAGGTTTTTGTTATCTATTTTATTTATACCCTTCATACCTTGGTGTACTCCCTGAGATAGGTTTTCATTATCTATTTTATTTATACCCTTCGTACCTTGGTGTACTCCCTGAGATAGGTTTTTGTTATCTATTTTATTTACAGCCTGCATACCTTGGTGTACTCCCTGAGATAGGTTTTTGTTATCTATTTTATTTACATCCTTCATACCTTGGTGTACTCCCTGAGATAGGTTTTTGTTATCTATTTTATTTACATCCTTCATACCTTGGTGTACTCCCTGAGATAGGTTTTCATTATCTATTTTATTTATACCCTTCGTACCTTGGTGTACTCCCTGAGATAGGTTTTTGTTATCTATTTTATTTACATCCTTCATACCTTGGTGTACTCCCTGAGATAGGTTTTTGTTATCTATTTTATTTATACCCTTCGTACCTTGGTGTACTCCCTGAGATAGGTTTTTGTTATCTATTTTATTTACATCCTTCATACCTTGGTGTACTCCCTGAGATAGGTTTTCATTATCTATTTTATTTATACCCTTCGTACCTTGGTGTACTCCCTGAGATAGGTTTTTGTTATCTATTTTATTTATACCCTTCGTACCTTGGTGTACTCCCTGAGATAGGTTTTTGTTATCTATTTTATTTATACCCTTCATACCTTGGTGTACTCCCTGAGATAGGTTTTCATTATCTATTTTATTTATACCCTTCGTACCTTGGTGTACTCCCTGAGATAAGTTTTTGTTATCTATTTTATTTACAGCCTGCATACCTTGGTGTACTCCCTGAGATAGGTTTTTGTTTTCTATTTTATTTACATCCTTCATACCTTGGTGTACTCCCTGAGATAGGTTTTTGTTATCTATTTTATTTATACCCTTCGTACCTTGGTGTACTCCCTGAGATAGGTTTTTGTTATCTATTTTATTTACATCCTTCATACCTTGGTGTACTCCCTGAGATAGGTTTTTGTTATCTATTTTATTTACATCCTTCATACCTTGGTGTACTCCCTGAGATAGGTTTTTGTTATCTATTTTATTTACATCCTTCATACCTTGGTGTACTCCCTGAGATAGGTTTTTGTTATCTATTTTATTTATACCCTTCGTACCTTGGTGTACTCCCTGAGATAGGTTTTTGTTATCTATTTTATTTACATCCTTCATACCTTGGTGTACTCCCTGAGATAGGTTTTTGTTATCTATTTTATTTATACCCTTCGTACCTTGGTGTACTCCCTGAGATAGGTTTTCTGGTGGCTTTAAATGTAATAAATCCTGTGATGATTGAAAATATACTCCACACAAAAATAAAACGATGCCATCCAAATTTGAGACAAAACCCCACCGGAAACAACCACATCCCTAACAAAGTAGCTCTCTGAAATTAAAATATGGACGTTTTTTTACTTTCAAAATCTTTTCCTAAAAAAAAAAAATTCGCAATATACATTGACATTCTTTAAGTAAATTTATGGTTTGAAAATATCCCCCCACCCCAAAAAAAGAGAAGATCTAAATTTGTAAGGATTACATACATGTTTGTCTTTTCTTTTGGAAACAAAATTTACTTTCTGCTTTCAAATGCACTGAAATGTTTATGAAGATGAGGTGCTGTTTAAATACAGGACATATACCGGTAATGCAATTCTACAACACATACTTGGTACGATTTGAAATGCCTCTGTTTCCACTGGACCAGAACAATCTGTGCCACCACCAGAGTGGCAATCAAAATCAGCACCATTTCCAAGTGCATGGCCTCGTGGCCTCGGTGTTTCTCATGTAGTCTCTGATGCTCGATCCTACAATACATGTGTATTTATCACCCAGATGCATCTCAAGAAAACCTGCACATCTATTAAGTACAATACAACTGTGCATTTATTTTACATCTATGCCTTATTTTTGTTATTCAATATTCATGACAGAGAGAAAAGTTGTACCAAGTTAATCAATCGTTTTCAAAACATACAATAATCCACTATTTTTAGGTTCTACAATTTACCTCCATCTTTCTTTTTCTGGTAATTTGGCAAGTTCTTCGTCGGACTGCAAAATCAAGATTTAAAGATATATTAATAACTAAATGGTAATCAATGTATGACATAATTATCTACATACAAATACTCTCTCACAAACAATTGCTGCCCTACATGCTTATAACCAATTCCTACAACAATGGATGCATACATAAATCCATGTGATTCATAAAAAAGTCCATCCTTCACAATACACGGTCCAGTGTTGAGAAGCAATACATGTACATGTAGTATCAAATGTACCTCCAAATGAACCAGTTGATAATGTGCTTTTGGATACCTGGGGAACTTCTGGGACACACCCATTACATCAATTCTTATCCATTACAAGTAAAATGTAAAGAAACAACAAGCAATTTGTCTGTAAAGTATAATTCTTTTGTCCTTGTGTTGATCTTCAGTTGTACAAGTCATAAGAACAGCTGTGCCAATGATCAAAACAATCAATGATTGGGTCAATCTGAACAACTGAATGTCTATTTCTCACTAGCCAAGGAGTTTATCATTATGTGAAAAAAATTCATTGATGATGATGATGATTTATTGATTGAAAGAAAATCTTTACAGTTTTCTAAACTACAGCATAGTTTATGGCACATTATCACATTATACAAGATTAACACAGGTATGAGGGGAGGGGGGGGGGGAGGTTCTTGAATCTTCAGAGAATAAAAATCAGTATCAACTCAATTCACTACTGCTCCTTTTACGGTATACAAATATAGTTTAGACACCCTCCATGATTATCAGATTACAGAGCATCAAATAACCAAAGAAATCAGGTATGCCTACTGGTCTTTGTGTAGCTGTGTATTCAAATACGATAATTTTCATTACTGTGGAATTATAAAAATTTGTGGGGGCCAATTTTCATGGATTCCATAAATTTTACAGGTTTGTAGGGACAAAATTTTGTGTATTCTAATATACCTACAGAAGGAAATATGACTTTGTAACTACAGTTTATTAATTCGTGGAAGCTGTTAATTTGTGGATGAGAGGTACCCACGAATTCCATGAAAACTGAGCCACCACGAAATCTAATGATTCCACAGTATCTTTCACTTAAAAACTTTTAATACAACATCATTTGTAATGCTTTCTACTTAAATTCCTGCAAATTCAAACTTTTCTTCCAAGGCTTGACCTCCATCAGCTGATGTCACAAAATATCATGGTACGAAGGAAGTAGATCTGTAAATGAGTTAACCTTTAACTTGGTCGACTGACTTAAGGACTTACAGAGATACCTTATATCTTTCTAACAATTGGTAATATCTATATGAATCTCCTAGTACCTACGAAATTTATGAAGTCAGCTGATGGAGGTCAAGTCTTCATCTTCTGGATGGTACTTCACCACTTGTAGAGTAACATTTGTACAGTAGTGCAAGGGCTTTTATAGTGTTTAAAATAAATACTGACAGTGAATTTCAAAGTTTAAAATCCAGGTCCTCTATGGGCAGATACTTATGGACTGGATCTGGAGCTTGAAGCTGTCTACGAACGTTACAATGACAGCTTCAGATGTAGTCCAAAATATCTGACGTTTTCCAGGCGTTTTACACAATTTTGATATTTTATGTGCCAGGAAAATGTCAGAACCAGAGCCTTTATGATGTGGAAGTTTGCCGCCTCCAAGCGGGGAGGGGAGGGGGGTGATTCTCGGGTCGATTTTCGATACATGCAAACTGAATTAAATGTCTAACTCACATCTTACCAGCAGTACAGTGCTTCTAGTACTTACCAATATTGCTTTTATTGTTCCTTTGTAATATAAAGTGTTTGGTGAAAACATTTTATACTGGTGAGAACTAGAAGCATTGTGCTATTGATAAGTTGTGAGTTTTACATTTTATTCGATTTGCAAGTATCAAAAATTGAGTTTAGTTGGGGGCGATGAAATTTCCACTTTTCATAATGACGCTGTTTCTGACATTTTCCTGGCACATTAAATATCAAAACTGTGAAAAACGACTGCAAAACATCAGATATTTTGTACTACTTCAGATGGTAAGAAGTTCCAGATCCTGATCCCATCTGGAATAAAGAATTTTTTATATACCGGTACTATGGTTCTAGCATACAGTACAAAAAAGGTGATGATGTTTACGCTTGGAAAGATGGGTTAGTGTCAGGAGTATAAATCTAAAGTAAATAAATTGATAACAATCCAGTACATCTTAATAGCCTTGATTTGTACTTCATTAGTAAGGGATAGTTGAACTTGAGTAGCAGCACACATTAGAGACACTGCTGGTTGTTCCATAGTCAGTATAAACACCATTCGGGCAGCTCTCTGCTGTACCATCTTAAGCTTGTTGATGTTTTCCACCATATGTGGGTCCCAAATGGCACTTTTAAATTCTAACAAAGGACAGATTAGTGTCTCATAACATAGGCTTTAGTCTCATGTTGGCAATGGCAGATGTTATGTCCCAGAAAGGTTGATGTTCAGCCTTGGAGGAAAAGTTTGACTAAACGCAGTAACACTTGGACAAATTTATGTTGAAAGCATTACAAATGAAGTTGAATTAAAAGTTCTGAATTTAAGGATAGTGAAAATTATCATATTTGAACCCATTGATACTGGGCATCAATAGCAAACCACTAGGCATATCAATTTAATTTATTTATTTGATTATTTGAAGCCTGAATCAAGGAGGGGTAAGTAGAATGTAATAATTCTCTGACCACTTTGCTATAACACTATCACACTATCGTTAAAAAACAGTGACACTGAAATTTCAATATCTTTGTGCTCGAGAACATCTTTATTGTACTGTGAGACTGTACTGTGTTACAGCACAGGCCTCTGAATTTCTATCAATAAGCCCTTATATGATTGATCAGAGTGATATATATACCCCCGTGGTTTGCGCCGGGATGATTTGCGCCGATTTCGGCGCGAAACATCTCACGTTTTATTTTAAATATTTCATCACATTTGGATCCGTTTTAAATTATTTATCAAATATAAGATGTAAATATCTTGTGTGCTCAAATTCATGACCTAATAACATGCACTGCCATAGTTAACAGATCGAATGGTGCCCGTTTGCTCAGCGTGTCGACCTGTTCAACAATTCAACAGTGATTCAATGAGGATTTAATTGTAATAAATTGGAGATCAAAAGGTGAGAATTTAAGTTGATGTGTTGGTTGTCCAAGCCAGCAATAATTACTTAATTAGATGGCGGTATTATAATTATATACTGTATACGTAATTATTTAGCACAGTGTTATAATAATTCATAATTATGCTATGTATGTATACTTCAAACACAGACATAAATAATTATTAACGTCTGTGCTTCAAATATAATCTTCTTAAATTTAAAAAAAATGTTCCAAAAATATCTATATTTACATCTATTTAAAATCTAAAACTTTGTTAAATGAACTAAACTCAGTAGCACATTTATGTACTTGGAGTGAAACATCGCGGGGCGAACCATCTCAGCGCGAAACATCGTGGGGCGAACCATGCATAGGTGCGAAACATCCCGTTACCTATATATCACTCTGATCAATCATATAACGGCTATGCGGCTGCTACGTTGTGGAACTCTTTACCAAATCATGCTAGGGAACTTTCCACCCTCAACCAGTTTAGAACATTCATTGACACATGGAGGGGGGAAAAATGCAAGTGTAGTTCCTGCAGAAACCACAGCGTGGGGGCGGCATAGCTGATGAGACAATATTTATTTATTTATTTATTAATTGAAAGAGTCACAGTCTTCTATTTTTGCAGTTTTTCATTTATTTTTGAAGTCTTTCATTTGCTTTACTGATACCACCTCAATTTATTTTATTGTGTTCTTCCAAGTTTCTTTTATATCTATATATTAAACTTTGTTATTTACTTAAATTTTCAATAATAAGGACCCTGGGGGCTGAAACTTTTGGAGTAACATCCTATGATGGCAAAGGTGTAAGCTCTCCAGGATCCTAGTTTCTTTTATTTTTGTTTTTGATATCTGCTTTTTCCTAACCTCACAACAATACATATCCTGTCTATGTAGGTAGGGACTGACCCAATCACTAGACAGGATGTGTGTTGGTGAGGAACTTTAATTATTATTATTATTATTATTATTATTATTTTTTTTTTTTAATTTTTGGTTAAGCTGTATTTGCTTGAATTTTTAAGTTTCTAAGCTATCAATTTTATTTTTCTATTATTAATACAATTAGTGCTTTTAATCTGATCCCATGTGTTTAATATAGTGCTTTATCTAATTTGTTATTATGATAATGCTTATTTTTTTTTATTTTTGTTCTTAATGCAATCATTTTTTTCTAATTCTTTTTTTCTAATTCTTAAATTTGTTTTATCTGCTATGCGTGTGTATATATGTACATGTGTTTTTTGTATGTTAATTTATGTTGTAAATGTTTTCTCTGTGATATTTTTAGCTGTGATAGTCGGTTTAAGAGCTCTACAGAGCTCATGTTCATTGTTAAACTTTGTAAAAAAAATGCCGACTTTAAATAAAATTTACTTACTTACTTACTTATTGATAGAAATTCAGAGGTCTGTGGTTACAGTTTCTTCCCTAGTTTATATAAATTTTATGGTTACACATGGAATTCTTTTAATAGATTTCATGCCTGTTTACAATTGGTGGTTTTTAAAACCCTCCAAATTCTGGAATAAAATGACAGCATTCACAGCAAAGGTCTACATGATAAATATACGAATCTGAATAAACATTGAGGAAATTCGGATTGTGTCAAATGTTGAAAACTATCAGTCGGAATCGCTGAGATATTTCATTAACGTCTGAATAAATTTATCATCTCTTATTCTTGTTGTTGAATACGAAAACATAAATAAAACTGCTTACAATATTGAGATTTATAGGTGCATGCCCATGTCCGGCGTGATGGTGGTGCGCCATCTTGCCTACGTAAACAGATGTAACGCCATCTATCGTTTGAAGACTAAAGAACACAGTGGTGGATTCAATGGAAAAGGTGGAGGGTGGTAGAAGTAAATATAATAACCCATATTCATTAACCGAGTATGAAGAGTATGAAACTTATCATGCTTATCATCGTACCTGTTATTTCATTCAATCCTGCGCACAACAACTGCACAGATGCTTGGGGACGGGACCCCCACCCCCACCCCACCCGTGTTCTGTACTCCTAGGGTTCTTAGACTTTTTTAAAAAATAAAATATTTTTCTATGATACATTCATAAAGTATTACAACTTAAAAATCCAAAATATAGCCTAAAACTACCCTTTTATAAAAATCCACACTTTCTGATACTAAAAGTATCCGGGCAGAGCGTGTGGATTTTTATAAAAGGCTAGTTTTCATGGTTTTAGGTTATATTTTGGATTTTCAATTGTAATACTTTGTGAATGTCATTGTGTCATAGCAAAACATTTTTATTTTTAAAAAACTGTCAAAGAACCCTAGGGGTACGGAACACGGGAGGGGGGATCCCGTCCCCAAGCACCTGTGATAGATATTCTTAATTTACTTCTGCATTCAACAGTTCAATGGTTGACAGTATAAATATTTTTTTTTATTTTTTGCATATTGATTCGCGTTATATGATACCAACATCAATCTAATTAAAAATACCCCCCACCCTCGACCCCCTCTTCTATATTTTACTGAATTGTTCTTTCTGTAAAAGAATTGATGCACTGATGCATTGATGTTATAAATCATTGTGAAATAATTCTTCAAAAAAGAAAAAAAGAGTATTCATACCGAGGTATAATTACTTTTTGAGCAATAATTCCACATTACTGAGCTCTGATTATTGATGTAACACTTTTCGTCCGTCTATCTATCCGTCCATCTCTCTATCAAGGTATATACATGTATATGTCACCAACCTTGTCAGTTGATGAATCTTGCAGAAATGATGTGGGAAACCCAAAAGCGGATTATGTCAATCATGTCCTTACTGTTACATGTAATTAAGTCTTGTGTCAGCAAACTTGAATAATTTAAATAAATAAAGGTAAGAATAATTTTCTTTTATGCTTCACCGTAATATCATAGTTCCTGATGGGTGTTTCATCATTCGTTTTTGCGGTGCATTTATTCCTTGACAATGACACGCAAGACTGACTTATATCTCGTACACACACACATGGAATGATACAAATATCAAAATCATTTTTTTGGATAAATTTTATTATGTACAATAAAAACACCATGCATGCAAAAACTATATACAAGGATACACACAGTGTATGGATATGAAACAATCTTATTCACCCAGGGTTTCTTAATCGATAAAAAAGTTGTATGCATGTAATGAAGAGAATGAAAGAATTAAGCACAATTATTGTAAGTTTAATATATGATAAAATTTACCGTGAGTATAAAATATATTTTTGCCATTTATATCTTATGAAAGTTGAACTATATATTTATATCAATAAAATGACCATTTTTCGTTTTAAAAAATGATACTGAAACTCTGAGTGTCAAAGATAATCGAAAAAAAATTACATGTACAGAAAACATGTACATAAGCAATCTGTCCCGCTGAGAATGGTCAAATTTTCAAATGGAAATAATTAACCATGCAAATAAAATTTTGAAAATCATTATTTATGGGTACATCTTACTTTTATATATTAGACTTTTATCAAAGATATTCGTCAGTCTAAAATTGGACAACAACGGACAGATTGCTAAAAAAAAAAAAAAATTGGCACTAACCCACTATTTTAAACTAGGAGTGTATCACACCAGCTCATTTTATCTATGTTATTATTTGAAAGAATTAAAAAAAAAAAACCAAAATTGAAATAAACAGGAAATTTTATATAAAGAATGTCAAAATTTGAGAGGAAAATATGAAATTAAAGTCAAAATAATATTTATTTTTCAGACATTGCAAATTACTTTGGGTTTTTTTTTTCAATATCTTGAAATCTCGGTCCTCGTCGTTTGTTTAATTTTTATATATCAAGAGAAATAAACCGCTAAAATGGTGGGTTTTGCCCTACAAAATAACGGCAAAGAAAACATGCCAGTAAACAATTCCTCTGCAAAAAAGCAGGAAATGTATTAAATACAACACTTTGTACAGTCATGCACATTGTCCCCAAAAATGGCTTAATTAAAAAATCTCAGCTCAGTACAGTCTTGGGTACCATGACTATCTTGAGACGGCAATAAAACTTGTCATATGAACAACGTCTCTGTCAAGTATGTCTCACATGTGTTGAAATTAAAACACACAGGGTCCTATTTTAATGCTCCCCGTTATAACGGAATTCCAGCACAGCGATATTCGTATGAATGCTATATTAGCAATGTCTAATACAACGCATGCGTTGAATATATACAACACTGTCTTTGTACAAACATGCCGAAAGTTGATAATATTCCATATTCAAGAGACTCAACACAGAGTGCAAGTGCAAATGGGATTGTCACTATGTCCATCTTGCCAAAGACGTTTGCTGAAAAAATATCTTTGCAGTTTGCATCTTTACCTACAGTGGTAAATATATTTAGATTTTTCAGTATTTACAAGATAAAAGAATTTATATATGTTTTTTTTAAATAAAGGGATAAACTTTTGAATAAGTGGTATATATTTTCCTAAGCAAAGAGATTGATAAATAAAGAGCTTATATTTTTATCTAATAAGCAACAACGTCCATGACAAAACTTAACCAGCAGACCAGACACAAGTCATTAAGTTCTACTTACCAAGAACAATCTCCTTATTAATAGACGTAAAAGGATGTGTTCAAGTCCTGAGTCTTGGAGACTTGGTGTTGTCTCTGTTTTGATACGTCACGGCGCACTTCCCTGTGCTTAAAATTGACTCTAGCCAACCACTCCATCTATACAGATTGATCACAACGTGAATTTCATTTTTTAAAATTTAAAAAAAAAGATCAGATTTGAAGAGCAGATCCAGTGCAGGGGAAGGGGATGTGTGGTTATTGGCTTCGGTCGTAAGAATTTGCAGCATTTTATATTTACAAAGAGCAAAGGCGGATCAAGGGCCGGCGCGCCGGGGGTGCGCCCCCTTCCCCCCTCTCGTTTGAATTTTTTGTATGTAGAACTTATATGTGCATTATCCTAAAATCAAGGAAAAACATCTCTTCTTTGTAAGAATTTGTCAGCTTCCGGGGGCTTCTCCCCCGGACCCCACCAGAGCCTTGCCCTAGACCCACTGAGGGCTTCAATGCAGCCCCCAGACCCCATGCCTTCTACTGCCTGCCCCCCCCCCCCCCCGTTACGAAATTCCTAGATCCGCCACTGAAGAGGATAGCCGAAAATGACACTGGAACATCTATTTCCCAAGAAAACTTGAAACCCACGGAGATATTGTGAATATGAAGCATATCAAGCTTACCTAACATACTTTTCCCCACCCACCCATCCGCTACTTAAACTTGGTAAGGTAACCCAAACCTACATACATATACACAAAGGCATACGAAATGACTTAAGATTTTTTTGGGAGAAGGGGGGGGGGGGTGCTTTTCAGAATGTGTATCTTTGGAATATTTTTAATATTCAGTGGATATAGATCTTCTCCCTTTATAACTTTTTTAAAGAAAAAAAATCCTAGATCCGCTAGTGATTCAAATGGTCAGATTTTATTATTTAAAACATTTGCCAAAAATTCTTTTTTTTTTTAAAAAAGAGAAAGTTTGAAATGTTACTGATTAAATTGCTCTGTTGTTGAGAATAAGTGCGACACTAACCTGGTGCGTAGGTTGTGGTATGGTGGGAAGTTCCCTACGCTCCTCAGACTTGTTGATGGCACTGGTCAATTTACGCTAAAAAAAATAATAATCAGTGAGTCATGCAACAAGATATTCATCGTATAAAACTCTTTTAAATACTTATGCAAGTAACAGAAAGTAATTATTTATTGGATATGAAAGTACAATTATGGGTAGTGCTTGTTTTGGGTAACTGAGGAAAATGCTCCCACACAGACTCTTACCCAGTCTTCAATATGCTCTACCCATCCCTGAGCAGCAGAAGCAAAGACTGGTTTGCACTGGAGAGAAATGACAGAGGTTACTAATTGAAGATTTGGAGAGAGAGAGAGAGAGAGACATATATACAGACAGAAAGACTTACAGCAGATTTAGCCGCCAGACTCAACATCACCTCGTACCACTGTTTGTCATCTGAAGAGGGCTCTATACGGCGCTGATAATTAAAAAAAAATACCTGTTATTACACAATTCAAGTCAAAACGTGTTACATTTTTATTTGTTTTTATTCATTTATCTCTTTCTTTATGCTTCTAGCAAATGTTAGATCCTCTATTTTAACTGTATGAACATGTATTATCACGTTGGTTCTAACATAATGACATGAGAACCTTTAACAGAATACATCTTAACGTACTCAATGATAGGACGTCTACAGCTTCCCCTTTTAATGCCAAAAACAGAAATTTTATCTGCAGAAATTCAAGGCATTTACAAAAAAGGAGGCATGTTAAGATGAAACAGAATTAAATTCTTTGTACGAAATGTAACCTAATTTCATGAACACCCCCCCCCCCCCCGCTTTACGTTTATAGATTTACATAATGTTGTGAACTAGAAATTATTTTTATTTTAAGTTTTTCTTCATTGTAGCCAAAGATACATGCATTGAAATTAAATGTAATTATAGCATGTCGAATTAAAAAGAAAAGTAGCCTCGCCCCCCCCCCCCCTTTCAACTCACGTATTGTAAAATGTGCTGTATTTTGAAGAAAAAAAAGTTTTGGGGGAGTAAATTATTTATTTCCTGATGCATTACCCTCTTAGAAACACTCTTATTCTTTCTCTCTACAGATCTTTGCCTTTTCATTGTGATATTTGCAATTTGCGTTGCTGTGTACAGAAACACGTCTACTCTCTACTGATCGAAGTGAGTAACTAACAACGGTAACTACAACGCAACACTCCCTAGCAGTTACCAAGTGTGACGTCATCTCTATTAGTAACACAAATTAAGAACAAGCGTAGAAACAAGTAAATTGTAAAATTTGCTTACCTCTCATGTTATCCTTTACATTTTTCACTTGTTTTAGGATTTTAGTCGTTATAAATTGCATGTTAAATTTGATATGGCAAATTTAACGTGATGTGACGTCATAATCGAAAAACCGTCATCATCAAACTTCCGCCAGAGTTCGTTTGTACCTGTGGCGGTTAGACGGGTTCGATTGACGTTAGCCAGATAGCTCAGTTGGTAGAGCACCTGACTAGAGATGGGGGAGTGTTTCGAATCCCGGTCTGGTCCGTCGCATTTTTCTCTTCTTCTAATACATATCAAACTGCGGAGAAGCAGAGGACTATGGGTAGTTTGCCGTCAATCTCCAATCGGCAATCGTGCGAGGTTTGAGGCACGTGAGGAACCAATCCCCTGTGCAGAGTTGTCATTCGGTCGTCACACATCCTATAGAATGTTTACTGTTTACACTGTAGCTAAAAAAAAAGGGGGGGGGGAAGACTGCATGTGTCGTGACAAATTTGCAAATGGTCAAACTTATCCAAAATCAAGGGAGCTCTCATTCAAAGATTATAAGAACTCTGCACTTTGAATGTTTCCAAATACAAAATGTACAAAGATTTGCACTATCTATTATGATCAAAGAGTTGAGGATGTCTTAATAATTTTTTTTTCTGTAGTGAAACAATCTCCTTTTTGACTTCATCCACAAAATATGTTTGATTGATATTAGGATTGATATTGTAAAAATCCAATTAAACTCAAGAATTGAAACTGAACATATTAATTAACGCCATCAACTTTGCTGCCATTCAGTTGTAGTGATGTGATATGCGGATCCAGTTCTATGGTAGCCACTAATCCTAGTTCGCATACACCTAAGCAAATAAAAATGATTATAAAAATATCACTTCAATGCATCGCCTCTTTAAACTAGTATTTAAGAGAAAGGTACAAGAGTTGAATTCAATTTAATATTGAAGATAAAATTACTGATATGTAGAATATAGTTGATTAATTTTTAAGTCACTGTAGTAATTATACAGTAGAAAAGATGAGGTTTTACAGTCGTCTCAGTAGAAATTTTCAGCAAAAGTACAAAAAATTTAAGGTACAAAAGTCGCACAACAAACAGAATCTGCATATTTTATCGACTGTGATGAAAAATTCTGCTTCTTTTAAAATATACGAGTATGAAAAAATAAAAATAATTGAATGGAATACACCAATATCGAGCGCCAAATTATCAGAAACTCGAAGATATTCTTAATTATTTGAATAATTGAATTGATGCGCGAATCAATGCGCGGATTATAAAGCGTAAACTGACCCAAACCAGGTTATACTCGAATAATTTGGCCAAGAATTAGAGTCATTCCTAAATTACTAGCATTTTACAACCAATTTCTGTCGGAGGGATAAATGCGCTTGCTTGACTAACTCATGGCAGAACGGGGATTAGTCCATTATATCAGCGGTTTCTAGGGAATTATTCACAACTAATGATCTAATTTTATTCAGAGGTGTAATAATCTAAATTCACCCCTCAGAAACTAGTCCATGCAACAGATACACCTGCACACCCATAAATACAATACTACTATATACATAAAAATGCAATTTTATGTAATAGAATGTCATTAAAATGATAAAATAGAATGATTAATAGTACATGTAATTGAAAATTTTAAATTTATTGTAGAGGTGATCGACCATAAAAATATTGAATGAAGTTCAAGCAATGTATCATGAGTGAATGCCTTTCATCATGACAAATCATGGCTTTGCTGTTCTTGAGAAGATTTTTCCTATGTATTCCTACAGAAAACTTTGAACGTCCATTGCGGCCCCGCCCTACCCCCGGGGGTCATGATTTGAAACTTGAATCTACACTACATGAGGATGTTTCCATATAAGTTTCATCTTTCCTGGCCTAGTGGTTCTTGAGAAGATTTTTAAAAGATGTCATTAATTTATCACTAATTTGTTATTATCTCCCCTTGGAAGATTGATTGATTGTTTGTTGTTTAACGTCCCTCTCGAGAATTTTTCACTCATATGGAGAAGCCACCACTTGCCGGTGGAGGGCTACAAATTTTGACCTATGCTCAGCACTCAGGGCCATTGAGCAGTGAGGGATCTTTTTTGTGCCAGCACCTACTGCGACAAGGCACCTCGGTTTATACGGTCTCCACGTCCCGCAGTGGGATTCAAACCAGCGACGTAAGGATCAACTCCTTACTCCGCGACTCTAGAGCAGATGCTCTAACCACTGTGCCACGCCGGCGACCCCCTTGGAAGAAGGCGTGGCCATTCATTTGAACAAACATGAATCCCCTTTACCCAAGGATACTTTGTGGCAAGATTGGTTGAAATTGGCCAAGTGGTTCTTGAGAAGAAGTCGAAAAAATTAAAAGTTTACAGACAGATGGACAGACAGACAGCTAGACAGATGGACACCGGACAAAATGTGATCAGAATAGCCCACTTGAGCTTTCAGCTCAGGTGAGCTAAAAATTTATCCTATATATTCCTATGTAAAACTTTGATCCCCATTGTGGCCCTACCCTACCCCCGGGGGTCATAATTTGAACAAACTTGAATCTACACTACCAGAGGATACTTCCATATCAATATTACTAATTTTGGCTTTGTTGTTCTTGAGAAGAAGATTTTTAAAGTTTTTTCCCCTATATATTACTATGTAAAACTTTGATCCCCCATTGTGGCCCCACCCTACCCCCAGGGGTCATGATTTGAACAAATTTGAATCTAAACTATGTAATGAAGGTTTCATTTAAGTTTCATCTTATCTGGCTCAATGGTTCTTGAGAAGAAGATTTTTAAAAGATGACACCAAATTTTCACCAATTCTTAATTATCTCCCCTTGAAAGAGGGTGTGGCCCTTCTTTGAACAAAATCTGAATTCCTTTCACGCAAAGAAGCTTTGTAGCAAGTTTGGTCGAAATTGGCCCAGTGGTTCTTGATAAGTTGAAAATGTGAAAAGTTTACAGACGGACGCCAGACAAAATGTGATCAGAAAAGCTTGCTTTCAGCTCAGGTGAGCTAAAAAGGAATAACTGTATGGGCTTTTTTATTTATATGTGTGATGTACATTGTAATCATAGGCATGTAGTACTGGGGGACACAGCAGACCCCTTTTCCAAATCTTTTACTGTTAATTTAGTATAATATTGATCAATGAAAGGCCAGTCCCCCTCCCAGTTTCTATCACAATATAATCAAAAACTCCCATATTGATATATTTTTTTTAAAAAATCCTTGTAATAAGTTAAACCCTTCTCCCCCCATCCCACCCCCAAGAGGCCAGGGAGAGATGGAAAATTTCAGAGTAAAGGAGCTAGGGTTTGTGATAAATCTTTATAGACATCTTAGACTGCCTTTAGACTCTGCAAGAACTCAACAAGTTTAATTGCATGACAAAGAATTAGTTTATTTTAATATGAATCATAAATTTTAACCGAGAACACAGCATCATGTATAACATTGGGAAAAACATTTTTTACAATTATTGCATTACTTGTCATGCTTATGAGGAAAAACTAGAGGAAAAAATGAATCTCTGGAAAACCTATCTCTACTACTTGTGTACTTAGTTGCACATGGTGCCTAACATTAAAATGTATAAAGCAAAGTATATACAGCATTATCAAGAAATTCTTTTGCAATAAAAAAAATTGTGGAGAGAGCATCCAAAACAAACTAAAACTGTTACATAAAAGATAAAAATAATTAGTACATTAAGGCCTGCTGTGCAAATCAAAGAGAAAAAAAGAGAGAATATAGTAAGAACTCAGATTTGGTTTATTGGAATGTTTATGTTGAAACATATCAAAAGGTAATAATGTAACTAAGAGATCACCGTATTTTTTTTTTCAAGAATCAGTGAAGAGAATTTTTTTTTTAAAATGTATTGGCTAGCATATCAAAAAGTGATTTAACATTTAAGAGGGCAATGAAACTTGATCTGATGGCTCTATCTTAAAAACAATCGCAGGCCTGTTGAGGTCAATGGTTAAAGGTCAAGATAAAAAAAAAAATTCAGTTCTTTGATGTAAAACATATCTTGGTTACATTGCTCTATAAAAATTTCAAAGTTGTGGGCAGTCTTACAATGTACAAACCCTCTCCTACATTAATGTAAATATACAATAAGCCTCATAATTTATATGTGTTTCTAAATACAATTAAAAATGCAAATAATACATGACATGTATCTTGGATTCAATTAACCCTATGCACAGCTTCAAAATTTACAGTTCAATGAGGAATACAGTATACAACTTATCTATATGAATAAAATTGCCATTCAATATTTTACCAATAGTGGATAAAATGAAAGAAAAAACAAAAAGGTAATTATGTTAGACTTAAATATATCAACATTGTCATTATCAATATCAAATTCTTATACACAGTCAGAAATAATTCAGATATGTGAAGTTGCTTACATATTGTTTATCCGATGTTATAAAGTACATGTACTAATTAAATATTACTTATACTATTAAGTTAATGAAAAAGTTAATGGGTGTCTTTATACAAAGACATATAAGCAAAGGGAGGGAGGGAGGTTTTTACTACATGTATACAATTCTCAAAAATGAAATTAAAACTTATGCCCGAAATGATGAATTGCTAATATATTGTATGAAAGTGAAAAAAAGTTAGAGAAAGGAGAGTTTTGAGACATAAAATTTATTTCACTACCTTTGAAAATTTAAAAGAGAAAAAAGTATCCCATAATATCTAACTTGTTAAAAACTTGTATTTATATGTGCAATATAACAGGTTTAATTTTTCTTGATATCTGATTTTTGCAGTTTTTGTAAAGTTATTTAAAAATACAATATCAAAATAAATATTGCTGTCTG